AATCTGAGACATGAATGCAAGCTGTGGAGACAGAGGCAAAAAGAACAGTGATGAATATTCTTGGTAAATGATTTATGCACTTGACGCAAAACCTATTCAAGAGGTTTTAGGATTGCACTGCATTGGAAACTAAACTGGATCTCTGAAAGACCCTTCAAGTTCTTGAAACTTTCCCATCTTGCCAATGAATTCAGTCACTTCTTTGATTTTTGATTAATTTTCAAAAAGACTAAGTGTTACTAATTTATTTCTGGCTCTTTGATCCCATTGAATTTCTTTTTCAAAAGTGACTAATATATTCAGTGCCCAGCCTTGAAGTACTTGCCTTGTTTTCAGAGAGCATAGAAAATGTCCCTACTTTTTCCCAAGTGTGCTAATGGACTTCTTAATGAGTGAAGATCTGTCTTTTATGTAACATCTAAATTACAATTTTTCTACCACCACAACAGGCTAGGGGCACCATCTTTGGATGGGCTCTTAGGAAAGATTGCTTTTAACTAAGTTGCGCTAAGTATGGCATGAGGATGTTGCCGGGAAAACTTGTGCTTGCTAAGGCTGATGTTGTCCAACATGAACAAATAAAAGCTCAGAGTGGGTTTTTTTGGTGTTGGGTTTTGTTGGGTTTTTTTTCCTGTTCAGATTTGGGCAAATAAATAAACTGTAACGTAACAGAGGAAATACAAAACAGTGTTGTACTTACTATCAGAGTGTATATCACTTAAGGTTTCAATGCAATAAGCTTACAGATCTTAAGAAAAGGAAGTCCAAGAGTAAGTGCAAGCCCAAAATCTGGCTCTTTAAACTGTCTCAGGTTTTTAGCATGCCCACGCCTGTCATAGGTAACTTTTTAATGTTCACTATGTGATTACTTTGTTCTGAGCAAGATTGTTTCAGTGGTTAGGACTTAAAGTTAAGATGCCCCTGTGAATTTTTGGCTGGTCACTAATGTTCAGGCCAGCAAAAAAGGTCTTTATGTTGTGATGCTTAGCAATGCAAAACCCCATTCCTTGAGTGCTGTCTACAACACTGCATGAAACCTCTAGGTTTTCTTTATAAGCCTTGGGGTGAAGGCACCCCACTGTGATTTTCAGTGAAGTTCACGCCAGGTTACTGCCTAGTCACTAGGAAATGTTGATCCAAGAAGTAGCATTTTAAATCAGCCTCTTACACTTATTACTGTGGCAGAGAAGACTGTGTCAGATTGGACATCTCTGCCTCAGAAATCTCTGCTTTGGTTTGTTTCCTAAATTATCCTTTTCTAAGGTGAATGGGAGCTACTCTTTTCCTACAAGATCTCAGTCATTACAGCAGATGCCTCCTGAATTGCACTATGTCCCTGCAACAAATGCAGAGCCCTGGCTTTCTAGAAAGCCCCATCACCTAACCATTGCAGGCAGATTAGAGCAACAACATGCACTTTTCTCTCAAGGCACTGTGAGATTAATAACAAAACATAAATAAGCCATATCCAACAAATCACAAGTAATGTTCTGCCCAGAAGGCTTTTCTTTAACTGTAAAATTGTTTAATGTCTTTCTTTTTCTTAAAGCCTGAGGAAAACCAACAAATTGAAGCATCATCACTGCTCTCAATTTCTTGTATATATTTTTTTTTTTTTTTAACAGTGGGATTACTTCCAGTAAGGCTAGAAGATTATTAGTTAACAACACCAGCCTCATTTTTGCTTCTTACGGGATCATCTGTAAGTTATACCTGCAATTGTGCTTGATGTTGATTTTCAAACAGTGAATTGTCAGTGATATTTAACCTATGCACTGGCCTATAACAAAAACTCTGGGCTCTGGTGGCTATAGCCACCTCCACCCCAAATCCAGTAACCCAGAAACAAACAAAATGTGAGCAAAATTGCTTAGCTATCAGTGGTAGTGGGGTTGACTACAATCTCACCATTAGTGAGTATCACCAGCAGTAGGCGAGGATTTCTAGAAGAAATTGTAAAATCATGTTTTCTGGTGATTCATCGCTGCTTTCAGAGGCAGGAGTCTGGAGTACATGAACTAGGGATCCGATCTGTTATGGCAACTCCTCTGTCATGTGTAAAACCAATGCAGTACAACCTCCCTGCGGGCAGGGTATGGGCTTCCCCAGCCATTGTAAATGAATAGCACTGATTTCAGTGCAGCTCTGCTGAATTACGGTGACTGACGGTCTGGTTCAACAGGTATAGATTTATGAAAGGAGAGAAAAAAGGACATGCAGCCTACTTTGAGCAGCAGGCAGTCTGGCACACCTATTCAATGTTCAGCGTACCATTTGGGAGACCACAGCTGCTTAGTCCCTCATTTCTGTTCCACCTGCATCTCTGCTGCATGTGTTGCTTAAGTTGGCCTTTGGAGAAAGATAACCCTTCCTCCTCTGAAAATTTTCATAACTAATTATATCTCTGTTTCCACCATTCTCGGCACCTCTGGCATGAGGAGGGAGTTAAGTTACCCTACCTGCCCCAAGTGCTTCTTTCTCAATGGCATTTCATATCTCCTTTCATGGTTTTAATTTCATTTTGGATTATGACTGGCCATCGCTTTCAAGCTTTTTGCCAGAGGACTCAGTATAGATGGTAAGTTGTATAGCATCACGTCAAGTTGTTGTTACTTTTAAAAATCAAGCCTAAGAATATTCCAAATACAAAGTTTCTCAGCAGCAACAGAGTCCAGAAATTCCAGAAAGTGAAGAAATGTCTTCTTTCCTGTCCAGCTGAATCCATCTTTATAAACTGGAGTAGTGAGAGATTTATGTAACAATCATTTTGCTACTACTATCCAAATAATTCATTTGTTATGTAGGCCGAATGCAAAGTGAAATGTATGTTAAAAGATAAAGCGATGAGCAGGGAACCTATTAATACCTGAAAAACTGCATTGCAGAATTGTGTTACTATAGTTGAACAGCAAGAAGTACCACATTAAGAGTCACTCATGCTGATTTATAAACTGTATTTCGAATTACCCATGGGATGAATATAATGCCTGAAAAAAGTCTTTTCAAATAGTGTCTTTAATACTTTTTTTGTTCTAATATTAGGATGTATGAACCATCTCTGGGGCCTCATAATTAAAAGAAGTCTGTCTATGTTACTTTAAAACTCAAATGTAGGCAGAATTTTTAAACGTTTTTAAAGATAAAATTGTGTTCTATTTTTTTCCCCTAGGCAGATATTATTGCTAAGATATAATAGTTTACATGACTTCCAGTAAAGTTTCTGTGGAGGCTAAAAGAATTCCTGGCTGCACTGCTCATTGAAAACATTCTGAAGGCCAATAAATCAACTTCTTGAGACTGAAAAGTCAATACAGCAGTGATGTTTTCATCTGTACTGTGTTTTTGAAGTCATTAGAAGTTTAGAGTGGCCTACAATCTTCCTCAGAAATGTCTCAGAAAGCCTTCAATCCATCATTTCCATTAAAATCACTACCCTGTGGGCCTCTGGCTTTGCCTTGATTAGCATAGCTTGAGAAGGAGCAGATCCTCTGCTCTACTCCGTGTAAGATTACTTACGTCTTGAAGATCTGAATATCCCAAAGGAGGCTTTGGTGAAGTATTCAGTTGTCTGAATACAGTTCGGTTACTTTCTAGACTCTTTTGCGTCTATTGACTCTATTGAATCTATTCATTCTGCGTTTAATTCTGTTACCTAAACATGGATCTGTAGAATTATTTGAGATATCAAATAATGTGCTTGAGACTTCTACATGAAGCTGGCAAAATCAATGCAGAATCTACACAGGAGGACTGAGATACCCTGTAGCATCCCAAATGGTACTAACCATTCCTGGGTGAGTAAGACATCCTTTAAATTTCCATGGACTGCAAAAGAAGCTCAGATAACAAGGTCACATGTAGGCACTGACATTGTAGATACTTTCTCAGAAAGTAATTGCCACTCCAGAGGCAATAATTTTGGGATGTTCTAGTGTATTAAGAACATCTTCACAATCACAGCAGATATGATGCAGGACTACAGGGGACATAAAACTTTCTGGAGTGGGAGATGGAGGCCGAGTAAAATATGTGACAGCACGTAAATGACACTAAGTATCTGTAGTTAAGAAGATTAATCTAGACACTATTCAACAACTGATGTCTGGAAATCCATTTAGCTGTTTAAATGTAGGTATCTTAACCCATGAGATAAATATCATTCCTTAAGCTCCTAAAAAAAAAGTCATTTATTTTTTCTCATTTCTTCACCTGGTAAAATGGAAACGGTGTCTCTTTCTAAGGAGTGTGTAGCATCCTCAGATAATACGTTGATAATATTTTCTAATCAGATTAAACTATAACCAAGACTACCGATTTTTCTGATTTCTGAAAATTCTTGTGCTTCCACATTTCTTATTTAAGCCCAAACAGACATAAAACTTCTGCTCCTATTTATTGCTTCTATTTTTATAATTATATCAACTGCATTCAGAAGGGAAGAGCTTACACCACGCGCTCTCAGTAGAGTGATTTGTATAGCACTATAATCTCAAGATCCCAAAGAAGAGCAGGAGCCCATTCTATTAATATCAGCATCAA